GTTGAGAAACACTGACCTAGTGGCTTTTCCAGAAACCTTGGGAATCCCATGGGGAACTGTGAGATGATTGTAGGATGTTAGGGGCTTGTTATTCTCCCGCGATCTTGGCCTTTTTAAAATGTTTTTATTTAGATCCACATTCAGGGTTTAAGATGGGTTACGCTGTTTTAATTGTCGCAGTGTCTGCGACAGCCCAGAGTCACGTTTCATGAGATGGGCGGCCATAGACATTTGCTAAATAAATAAATACACAGATGCATCCATAAATAAAATTGGGAAGCCGGTCCCCGCTTTATCCCTTTCACCTCCTGGGGCCATCCCAGCGTGAGAAGAACACAGGGGGGCAGCCGGGGATGTCTTCTTGCTCCAAATCCTCCCTCAGTCCCCCCCCATCACTGACTCCGTGAATTAGAAAGAGACCGGCCGACTGGGAAAAAAAGCAAGGGAGAAGCTCCTGAAATCAATTCCTGCATGTTGCACGGGCAGCCTTGTCCGATGTATAGGTCGGGCGAGATTCAACATCTGCTCTGTTTGCCCAGGGGGAAAAGAGGGGAAGCCAAACCCATCTGGCTCCCTCCACACCCCCCCTTCTCTGCAAGAGCATCTGGGTCTCCCTCCGGAGAAAGACGCAGGTTCCAATTTCAGAATTTAAACCTGGTCTCCATTGTCACCCTTCCTGAAGGGGGAAGGGGAGCAGCCCAAACAGGGACCGTATGCCTTCTTCCAGATTTCACAGGGCTCTGAGACCCGACGAGCAATGCTGTGAAACGCCGAACCTTGCAAATTGGCACTCGTGAAATGAGATGCCCTTTGTCCTTCAGATCTCTTCTGGTGCTTTAGGAGAAAGGTCAGATTGCGGGGGCAAATCTCAGAGATCCCGGGAAGGAGAATTCTGCCGGATAGGGAGAGGGGCAAGGACCTCAAACTTAACTCTGCCATGAGTTCATTTGCCTACAGCCCATCCGAGGGACAAGCTCAGCAGCCTGAGGGCACCGTGGGTTGGAGATCCAGCAAGTACCTTTGGGAAACGTCCCAAAGTTACTCCAGAGCTGGGGTCTTCCAACATGCGCCTAACAGCTGCATTTGTACAACATGCTAATTTTGGCAGGTTTACAGTTCGGGGTGTTGTCCAAACCTAGAGTTGTGGGAATCGTATTTGCAACTCTCCTGCTCCCCCGCCACCAGGCCCCCGACAAGGGGAAAAAAGCAGCTTACCGGCCAGGCAAAGTCAAAAGGAACCACCATTGTACTGGCATGGTCCGAGAGCTTCTGGGGGTGGGCTGAGAAGACGTTGCCCCCCAAAACAGGGGTGGTGGCAGCACCCAGCACACAAGGCCCCCCGGGGTGTGCCCGCAGCTGGTATTCCTTGAGGCAGGCCCGGAAGAAGGTGCGGCATTGCTCGGCCACGGGGCACGGCGGCTCCAGGCCTCCCCGGCAGCATCGGCCATCGGCCAGCACCCCCTTCTCGTTGCGCAGAAAGCGAATCTGAAGTTCAAAAATGCCCATGGCTTCCGAGACCTGCAAGGGGGCAGAGCAGACACAGCAGCGAGTGAGCGACGCAACTGCAAGAGGTTAAGGAGCCAAGGAGGACCAAAAGCTGGAAGAGAGCCACCTTCCCCAACCTGGCACCCCCCAAAACTCAGCTCCTGAGTGGCCACAAGCAGGGAGATAACATCAATTCCCCCGCCCCCTGCTTTTTAGGGAAAAGGTATGGTTCTCTTTCCCCCGTGTTTGGGAATGTTAACTGAAGCCTTCAAGCGGACATCATGCCCAGAAATAGAGTTGATTGATTGATTGATTGATTGATTGATTGATTGATTGATTGCCAAGATTTCTACGTTGCTCCATTCCGAATTGGCCCAGAACAGCATCCAAGAAAAAAATTAGTTAAAAATGAACCAAATCAAAAGAAGCAAGCAAGATCAATTTCTGCCCAAAGTCACCTCTGAACGCCCAGCCTCCATTGTCATGCTAATAGTAGAAAGAGTGCCCCTGAACATAGGCAGAGTGCTTTGTCCTATCCTCAGCCACAAGTGTGTAATCAGCGCTTTGAGTTTTCTGAGCACAAACAGAGAGAGGTCATTTCACTGCAGAACATTCAGCCCAAATTTGTTCTCACACGAGCCTCTTTCTTTCATTTTAACACACTTTGGCACTTCCAGGGCAAACAAACATAGCTCTTTGTACATGCTCAGAGAACAAAGATAGATGAGAGAAAGGGGAGACCAAGCTCAAATTCTCATGGAATGGAGCTGCTTCCTCTGAATGCCCTTAAAACCTGGGTCCAATGCTCATTGTCCACAGTGGCGGACAGGAAAGGCACTCTGCGTATGTTCAGAGGGATCCTTCACGTTGTCTGCCTCGCTATCAAACCCCAGCCATTGAAACAGGTGCCAGACCGGGACTGTCTTTCAAGGATCCCAGGCTGACATAGCCTGTCTAGCATCGGGTTCATAGCTGAGTTTACAGAACCCCCCAACCATTCCTGGCTTCATCAGGGTTCCCTGACGTCACCCAGTAACTGAGCCAGGTGAAGCCAAACCACAAAGGGCAGGCAGGCTCCCGTGCCAAGCCAAGCCATAAAAAGGTTCGGCTCCATCTGGCACTGCCAAGGCCTGGAAGCAAGAGAGAGAGCAGAGGGGTGACACGTTTCCCGCTCCTGCCTTTGCCACCCGCAGCTGAGGACAGGGCCAGTTCACCCACCCTGCTCCAGTTCGTCTTCCCTGGGGGATGCAGGGCGTTTCTAGAAAGCGGGAGGAGGATTTTACCTCTGCGCTTATGTTTTGCGAGCAGGCCTGCCGCAAAGGCACGTTTCCCTCCCTGCTTTTTGCAGTGTCTTGCACCAACGTGACTGCCAAGTCCCAGGACAGGGGAGGCAATACAGCCCCCGGGGGCATGGCTCGTGGGCTCTCCGTGCCCTATGACGCCACAATGCCACAGACCTATCAATGCGGTACAGCAGTGTTTCTCAGCCTTGGCAGCTTGAAGATGGGTGGACTTCAACTCCCAGAATTCCCCAG